TATTTTGTTTTAATTGTTAGAAAATGAATTTTTACATTAAAAAACATAAAACAGTAAAGAATTATAATTTATACATCACAATGGTGAAATTTAATGACAATTAATATAATTATTCTCACTTTTTTAGCTAAAAAATTTTCAAATTAGATGTTTAATTGTTTCAAAACATTGATTGCTTAAATCAGACGAAATTGTTTTTTGAAAAAAAGAAAAGAACAGACATTTTCTTAGTCCCCACTAAACAAAGCAAGAAATCCAGAACGTACGTAAACCTAAAATGGGTCCATTTGCATACTTTTTAGGTTAGTGATGGATAAAAAGTCACAGATAAAAAGCGAGAGGAGCGCTCCTGAAAGCTACTTATAAATTTATAATAAATAAATAAATAAATAATTTTCTATTTTATACAAAATATAAGTCAAGAAATATATTCCATATTTCAAGCTTTAAATTAAAAATGAAAAATGACAAAAAAGCATAATAAGCTGTGTTGTAATCCTAAATCCAAAGATTGCTTGACAGTTAGAGTTTGAGATCAATAATGATTTGATCGAAGAAAGTGAGAGGAAACACTTCTTTGAGATTCCATGTAATATAACTTCTCTCTCAATGGAAGCTTTTCTTTTTAGAAAATTTCAAAAGTATTTTGGTTGAAAATAAAAAAATTAAGTAAAGTTGTTTTTTTTTTTCTTTTTAATAAAGGTAAAGTTGTTTGAATATAGACTTAATTGCTTAGATAATACTGTGATCTTTTCAGTAAACTGCACTAAAATATAATTTTAGATAATTAAATATATTTTTAATATAAATATTATAATTATATTATATTTCATTGCTGTGAACTATATAGATAAACATATTTATCCTAGTGTTCAAACTTCACTGCTTATCCCTTTTAATAATGCAACGTGGAAAGTGAGATGAATGAATAGTTTATGATTATATGACGTGTTTAGTTTACTTGTGTTGCCTGAGAATGTTGGAATCCTTTTGCTAGATTCTTTTTCATTTAAAAGACAAATAATTTATATTGCCAAATTAGGTTTAAATTTGAAAATATTGAAATTGATTATATATATATATGAGCTGATTTGTACTTATTTAAGAAAAATAATAACTATTTTTTTTAAATAATATATTCACTTTAAATTTTTTTTAAAAAATATATGCATTATAAATCATGATATATAAAAATAATTGTACCCTCGATAATCATTTTACATTTTAACAATAATTACTATTAAAATTTTACTAAACCGGACCTAAATGTTTAAATATATAAGCTTAATAATTTAGAAATTTTATAAACTTTTTCGGAGTTTTTCTAATTATATATACTTTTTTAAATTTTATTAGTTTGAACATAATTTTTTATTAGATATTTGAAGAAAATATTAAGGGCTATGAAGAGACAAAGAAAAAACGAAATAGTATATATATATTTTTTTGAAAAAAAAAAAAAGATAAGCGTTACACTTGAACTTAAAGGGATGATTTATGTAAAGTCGCAAATTTGATCTATGAAAAAAGTTTTTGTGATGAATGATAATTAAAATCTCAAAAAGAAAATGGTAAATTCGAGAAAAAGAGTCAATCTATATGGTAAATTCTAAATAGTAAAATATGTTTATATTTAGAAAAAAGAAAAAAGGAGGAAAGAATATATAGTTAGCGTCAAAATGTGGAGAAGAGTATACTAGAATATCTAATTTTAGAAAGCAAGTTCAGTAATGTTCAACCTAAAATCCATCTAACCTAGGATTAGGAAACCATGTCATGTCACAAGTAATTTCATTTCCAGTAACAAACAGTATTTCAAAATCCTATCTTATTGTTTCTTACAAGATAGGTAAGAATTTGTGTCTGTTTGGTTTGATTTTTGGACTTCACCAGTCAAAGATTTGGTTTAAAAAGCTTGACCATGAAAATCAATGACAAATTCATCATTTAAAAATAACTATTTTTTTCATATTAATATTTAGATAACAACAGTAAAATTTTCAATATAATTTTATTTAAATTAATTAAAAAATAAAAATTAGAAGCAAGAATTAAAGATATTAAAACATTAAAACAAGAAACTAGTTATGCGTTTCATTCTTATTGTTATTGTTCTTTCAATAAAATTTACCTATTATATTTTCATATTTTTTTTTTACTTAGGCTAATTAAATTGATAAAAAAAGAAAAGAAAAAGAAACTCCCGTAAAATATAATAAAAACAAATACCTATTATATTTAGTTAGTCACATGCTTAATAGGGAAGTGAGTTAAAGCCTACAATAATTTTGAATGAATGAAAATAGTGTCATCTCTTTTATAAAAGCAAATCACTATTATTTCTTTAGCTAAACACAAAAAAGTCATCAAACGATAAAGAGCATCTTCCGTAAAATTAGCTTTTTTTTTTAGTAGTCGTTCGTTATTTATATTTCATCAAACATTAAAGGAAGTAAGTTTTACAATTTTTTATCTAAAACTTTAAACGCTAGTATAAATATTACAGTACTGAATATTATAAATAATAAAGATATTGTTTTAACCAAATCAAACACTAAATGCTACTTGAAAATTTACTGTGAATAGGTATAAAAAAATGAAAGACTGTTAGTTAAAATTTTCAGTGGCTCGAATTTATATAGATGCACGAAAATGTTAAGTTTTTCCATATATTTATAAAAATTAATAAAATATTTTTTTTTGTCACGATAGTTCTCATAGATCTTTTGATGATTGGTTGAGAGGATCTGCAGGTGCTCTTATTGCTGAGCAATTTTCTCTGTTTCTTATGATATTTGGACAGTTCGAAATTTATTTATATTTTCAGCAAAAAGAATTATTGATTGTGTAGATAAATCAAATACGTAGTTCTTTTTTGCCACATGAATTTCAGAATTGCAACGAGTTGCCTAATTCAGTCGACAACACAGAACGATATTAGTTTTTCTGTTGAGAATTTGAGCCTTAGGAGTAATTAATCAAATTAAATTCAATTATATATTTAATATTTGGCTTATAATGAATTGGACTTACCTTTAACACAAAATGACCTAAGGTTGGTTCACCCTTCACATTATATGTCATTTTAATTAGTTGTATTTATCCGATACGGGATTATCAATATACTCCAACACTCCCCCTTTAAGTGGGACTACCCACTTGACAAGCATACAATGACCCAACACATGGGTCCATCAGGGTACAACCCAACACGGGAACTTCCCTGATGAAGGAACTTTTCTCATGCAGGTTCGGGTCCCAGGTTCTGATAGAACAATTAACCAAATCAAATTCAATTATATATTTAATAATAGGCTTATAATGAGTTGGACTTACTTTTAACATAAAATGGCCTAAGCCATTTTGATTGGTTCACCCTTCACATTATATGCCCTTTTAATTACTTATATTTATCCGATGTGAGATTATGTACATACTCCAACATCCCCGGACTTACAGAGCACCTAATAAAGAAGTGTTGAAGGTTAATACTGATGCTAGTGTGAGAGAAATTAAGGTTCGGTCTGTGGATATGGTTTGGTCATTCGTAACTATATGAAAGTTGAAAAGCTGTAATTAAGTCAATACCGTGTTTATCTCTAGAAACTGTAGAAGCGGAAGCCATGATCTAGGGTGAGAATTATAGATAATAATTACAGAAAAAAAAAAGATAATAAATATTATAATTATGATTTTCTAACATAATCATAAAAAATAGCAAGAATTACAGTATAATAATAATAATAATAATGACCTTTCTATTTCAAAAGAACAAAAACAGTATTTTTATGTTGAAATGCATGAACAAAAATTAAATAAAAATGGAATGAAATGTAAAAAAAAACCAAAAATATAAAATTGGAAACAAGTAAATCCATGACCATCACTACCATATGAAGTTATAAACTAAAATTTTGACCGAATAGGCCCACTCTCCGCCATGATCCGTGAAGCAAAACCTACCAATTGCCAAAATAAATAAACAAATAAATACAATGCATATGCTCTGTTTTGAATAATAATTTATATTAATATATGAATCATGCCTCACAAAATTTATTTTATAAATAAATCAACTTCAATCAATAGCAAATAATGCAATGGAATTTTTTATGCAAGTTTCTAACTAATCAGAAATGATATTCTCGATATATTCTGTTTTTATAATTATAAATTTAATAATATTGTACACATCTTTTCATATATAATAATCGTTTTTTAAATTTTTTTCTTTTATATATAAAGTATTAATTTCATGTGTATTTTTTATTATAGTAATAAAATTTTTAGGGTTTTGTACACCTAATAGTTAATAGTTTTTTCCCTAAAAATTTTCAATTTTTTTAAATTTTTTCTTAAATTTAGTCTTTACGTGGATATTAACTATTTTTTTCTCTTTGCAATATTATTCCATTAAGGGGAAGTGTGCTATTACTAAAATTTGCTTTTTTGAAAGGAATTGGAAAACAAAATAAGAAATGTAGCTATGGATATGTATATATGTGTAAGGGCGCGTGGGCTATTAAGGAAAGACAAATCCAATTCGGCCAAAAAATCCAAAATCGAAATTCCTTGCTAAATAAGCTGCGGAGACAAAGGAGAGAAATGAGGTCGGAATGAAATGCAAATTCATCCCAAATTCAAATATCAATTAAATGAAATTCCTATTAAATTCACGCGTTCCTCCCGTCATGAAATCCGTGTCGTAGTCTTCGTCTTTCTTAGAAACATAGTAATAAAAATAAAAATAAAAATAAAAACTCACTCAAAAAAAAAAAAAAAAAAAAAAAACGCGTTCTCCCGTCATGAAAATCCGTGTCGTTAGTCTTCGTCTTTCTTAGAAAACATAGTAATTAAAAATAAAAAATAAAAATAAAAAACTCACTCAAAAAAAAAAAAAAAAAAAAATTACGAGCCAGATTACCACTCTTTTTCCATTTCCTTTTCATTTTTTTTTTTTATTACACTCCGAAGAAATACAGACCCAGAGTGCGAAAAAAAAAAAAAAAAAAAAAAAAATACAGAGCCAGATACACTCTTTTCCATTTCTCTTTTCATTTTTTTTTTATTACACTCGAAGAAAATACAGACAGAGTGCGAAGGTGAAATTCTAGAGGGAGAGATACGAAGGAAAAACAACAGATTGATAGAGAGAGAAATACGCCTGCTTGGTTTCTTGCTGCTGCTTCTTCTTGTTTCTTTATTTTTACCAATCTTTCTTTGCCATTTCCGCCATCAAAATCAACAAAAGGTTAAAATCGAAAGAATTATAAGCTGCCGCTTCTTCCATTTTGCTCGAAATGACCGTTCTAAGCTAACAAAGGTATTCCTAAATACTCCATTGGTGAGAAAAGTATATCTTGTTTGTTTTATTAGAGATTGTTCTTATTGGTTTATTGTTTTGTGCAGATTTTTAAGGGGTTTCATTTGATTTATTGATTGGGGTTTGGTAAAAAGTGAACTGGGTTAATCTTCAATTGGGGTTTTCCAGTGATAATTAGAGGGTTTTGGAGTGATAAATAGAGGATTTTTGAGGGGCCATTACAGAAATATAGATTAGTAGATTTTGTTTAAGCTAAAATAAAAATGGGTGATACTGAAGAAGCTAGTAGTGAAATGATGCAAAGGCTTCAATCTTCATTTGGGACAACACAGTCATCATCTTCAATGCCTAAACAACCCTTTTCATCGCTTAGCCAACTTGATATTCCCCAATTGAACCAGACCCAAATGCGTGCTAGGCATTTTGCACACTTTGCACAGAATTTTAGCAGTGATAGTAGCAAAAGAGTAGGAATACCACCTTCCCATCCCAATCAGATCCCACCCATTTCGCCTTATTCCCAGATCCCGGTGTCTAGGCCAGCAAACCAGCAACTGGGTTCTCAGAACTTTAGCCCAGGACCCACCCATTCACGATCTTTATCACAACCATCATCATTTTTCTCTCTTGATGCACTGCCACCCTTAAGCCCAGCTCCTTTTCGTGATTCATCTTCAACTTCTGGGTCGGACCCAGTATCAAATGATGTGTCTATGGAAGAAAGGGATGCAAATTCTAATTCTCTATTGCCACCCTCACCCTTCAATAGGGGTAATACGTCTCGAGTTGGTGAGAGCTTGCCTCCACGAAAGGCGCATAGGAGGTCTAATAGTGATATTCCATTTGGGTTTTCTAATGTGATGCAATCTTCCCCACCACTTATTCCATTGAGGGGTTCTGGTGTTCTGGAGCGGTCAGTGTCTGGGAAGGAGAATTCAGGGGTGGCTAAGCCAGCTCAGTTGGTGAAAAGGGAATGGGAGAGAGGTAGTGATAACAGTGTGGAGGGGATGGGTGAGAGAAAATCCGAAGGTGAAGTTGTGGATGATTTATTTTCTGCATACATGAATCTGGATAATATTGATGCACTGAACTCCTCTGGAACTGATGATAAGAATGGTAATGAAAATCGTGAGGATTTGGATAGTAGAGCTAGTGGGACAAAGACTAATGGAGGTGATAGCAGTGATAATGAGGCAGAGAGCAGCGTGAATGAAAGTGGCAGTAGCTTGCCAAGGGCAGGATTGAGTTCTTCAACAGACAAAAGGGAGGGTATCAAAAGGTCTGCTGGAGGTGATATTGCTCCAACTACCAGACACTACAGAAGTGTTTCGATGGATAGTTTCATGGGCAAGTTGAACTTTGGTGATGAGTCTCCAAAGTTGCCACCTTCACCAGGAACACGCCCAGGACAATTATCTCCTAGCAATTCCATTGATGGGAATGCGTTTAGCTTGGAGTTTGGGAATGGTGAGTTCAGTGGTGCTGAGCTGAAGAAAATTATGGCAAATGAGAAACTTGCTGAGATTGCATTAACTGATCCTAAGCGTGCAAAAAGGTACCTGCACTTTATTGCCTCACTGTAGTTATTCACATGACTTGTCCAAATGCCTCACTTCGGTTTTTTATTTCTGTATTGTTTGGCCCATTCTAGGATTTTGGCAAATCGTCAATCAGCTGCCCGATCCAAGGAAAGGAAGATGAGGTATATTTCAGAATTAGAACATAAGGTTCAGACTCTGCAGACAGAAGCTACCACCCTGTCTGCTCAGCTCACACTGTTGCAGGTGGCTATTTGGAATACTTAAATTTGGTTTGTTATATCTCTAATTTTCTTCCTTCTAAGTTCTTTGGTTATTGCCTTCTACTTTACATCCAGAGAGATTCTGTTGGGCTGACAAACCAGAATAATGAGTTGAAGTTTCGTCTCCAAGCAATGGAGCAACAGGCACAACTGCGAGATGGTATAAGAACTTTATCCCTCCATTTTCAGTTCAATAATATTCCATTGGGTTTATTGTTTTGTGGCATACAAATCCAATGTACATCGGTGCATGTCTTGTGTGTTGTCCACCCATTCAGTGGTAAGCCAACACCATGAATGTATTATTTGGAAAGACAGGACTGTTGGATTTAAGAATTTCTTAATCCACTAAACCACTCTAGACAGCCACATGTTGTAATGGCTTAAAAGTTTGGTTATTGGATAATATCAAGGAAGTCCAGAAATTTAAGCTCATTATTTTGGTATACCACCACTAAGTGACCGACACGTGTTTTAGCCATTAATTGCACATCCTACTGCCAAAATCTATGTGATCTCCCCCACACTGCCCCTGCGCGGATGGTCGGTGATTGCAATTCAATAAGAAGTGAAGAGTAAATTTCAGTAGGTTTATTATTTTTGGCAGTGAGAAATAGGGAATAACCAACTTTCATTTACAATAACTTCTGAGATACCCGTCTCTTTTCTAAGGATGAAGATTGCAATTGATTTGACTTTGGATGCAGCAGGTTTATGATTTCCTGCTAATATGTGCAAGAACAATAAGAGTGTTGCGAATTCTACCTAAACAATTGTAATAGTGAACGGGATATAAAGTTACCTTCCTCTGTCTCCATTTCTGTCAGTTGTGTGGTGGCAATAACACCTAAAACCCTGACATGAAGGTTGAAATTTCTAAAATGCAATCAGAACAAATTTCACATCCAAGTGCTGCTGGCTGTAAATTAAGTCTTCAGAGATTCAACATCATGTTACTTCTGCACTTTAGTAATACATTACTAGATAGACTACTAGTGTTGTACTGCATATAGCCATTTGAAATTTTGTGTGTTTCCTTGTTTGGTGTGCTATTTTGTTGGCACCCTTGTGAGAGGGAAGGGGCTTGTTTTTGAAGTTATTTTGTACCTGTTCTATTCTTCCACTTATTTTCTTTACGCAATGTTCTGGTCTGCACGATAGCCCATGCTTAATTATGTTGAATTGAAACAGCTCTGAATGAAGCACTTACTGCTGAAGTCCGACGATTGAAGCTCGCAACTGCAGAGCTTGGTGGGGATTCTGATCCAACCAAGGGCATGGTTCAGCATCTTTCCATAAACCCTTCAATGTTCCAGCTGCAGCAACAACAGCCTTCTCAACTCAATATACATCAACTACAGCAGCAACAGCAACAATCACCCTCCCAAATTAATATTCACCAGCTGCAGCAGCAGCAGCAGCAGCACCAGCCACAGCCACAACAACAGAATGGAAGTTCAACCTCAAATGGCGAGTCCAATCAATAGGTTGCTAAGAGGATAAGATGGCTGCTTGCTGCTTATTTATATTTATATATATCTCATATAATTCCTGTGCTTCATATTTGTTTCTTCAGTGCATTCATTCATTAGTTTTCCAGCTTCTTCTTCTACAAGTCCTTCTGTTGTTGTAGTTACAAATTTGAACTGCATTGCATATCCAACTCGGATCACCATTCAAAGTAAAATACATAAGTTGTCTATGATCATAGCCTTTATTCATTTCTAGTAGATATACACATCATATTGAGAACATTTGTTAGACCTGATGTTTTGTTGAGATGCTAGAAGGGTTGAATTGGAACTCTTCTTTGTTTATTTCAGTGATGGAATTTGCTTGTGTATTTGCTTACATGGCTCTGTCTGGTTTTAGGTTTCTTATGTTCTATTTTCTGATTTGATGCCAGCAGAAAGCAAGCCTAGTGATTATTGTGATACATTTAGTTGAGAGGCTTTGTGCTTTGCTTCTGGCCTACAGCATTTGACAACTTCTATTTGTTTAGAGGGATAAAAAACCAAGGCGATTCTTGATTTTTTTTTGCAAATTAATTTTGGTTAAAAGCTCTTTGCGACTTTACTGATATGTGATTTTTTTTTCCCATTTTTGGTTTAATTGTTTAATTTTATTTTGAGAAAATAAGTTTCTTATCTGTAAATACTAAAATTAATTTTTGGATTTTAAAAAAATGAAGAGACAAAACATTCCATGAAATTCAAACCTTTTAGGGAAGAGAGAATGGAAATGAAGGTGGTGTAACTGATTTTTAGTAATATTATTTATCACTTTAAATTAGGAGTTTTGATATTTATTAATTTTAAAATTTGACTTGTTTAAATATAACTTTAAAGTCTCAATTAAACTATAATTTATCTAAATTTAATTTAATTTACAATTTTAAATGTATTTATAATCCAACCATTAATGATGCTTGGTAAAATTGAAATTGAAATTGAAATTTTAAAACTTAATATCTGAATTTTAAATAATTTATGTGTTGAAATTTTTAACTTACAAAATTATTTAAAATCACACCAACTTATTGTATTTTAGTGTGATTGTAAATTTTAAAATAAAATTTTTGATCTGTTGTTTTAAGTAATTTATTTTTTGGAAAATAAAATTTTATGTTAATTAGAATAATTAAATGATACGTAAATAAATATTATTCAAATAATTTTAAAAAATAATTATTAAAATTTTATCGTACATTATTTCAACAAGAAACGATATAAATAGAGTTGCTAGCGAGTTGAGTTGGGTAAAATTTATTGCTTTAAAGTACATTTAATGATTTTTTGATTCAATCCAACCTATTAAGAGCGTTTGGTGTTGTTGTTTATATTAATCAATTGCGCTTGCTGGTAGGATTGAGAGTGGTTAGTTAATAAATATTGGTATTTAATAAAATTTTTGTTATCAATTGCATTTAAAATGGAAAATGATATTTAATAAAAATTTTGTTATCAATTGCATTTAAAATGGAAAATGACCAGTAATGATACAATTATTTTTATATATCATGATGTATGCATTTTTTTTTTTTAAATATTAAAATGAATATGCTAGTTTTATTTTAGTATATTACACAGACAAAAGATATTAATTAAAATTTTAAATAATATTTAATAAATAATTAGTATTTTTGTGTTTAAAAAAATAATTAGTATTTTTAAATTAATATAAATAAAAAGATCATAATAAATTTTGAAAAAATATGTTTTTATTAATAATTATTTCCATGCAATTTATGAACTCCACATATTGTATCATTAAGTTCACATATTACATCATTGAAAAAACAGCCTGTATGAGAAAATTTTGAACTTATTTGATTTAAATGATAGTAGTAGTTGCTAGTTGATAACTTATAACTAGCTGTTACGAAAGAACTCCACATATAGCTTTCTGATTTAAAAAGCTTATTATACACTTATAACATAGCTATTGGGTACATTCATATAGATCAATTATTACATGTATGAATCATATGAACTAGTGAACCAAATACTCTTTTCAAATCGTAATTTATGAAATTAACAGTTGAATAAAACTTCTATTAACACTTATAATTAATTTAAAAAGCTTATCAACTGAGCGATTAATTTAAAATCTAATCACCTGTCAGTGATTGATTTAAAAATTTATCAAATACTTACAATTTATCTGTTAGATATGAATCATTTCAATCAAACCCTCAAAAAATGTATAAATGAGTTATAAACATGTTGAGTTGAGTATGAGTTAAATATAAACCAATTCTAATCAGATGATGGTATGATTGGTCTTTTTACTAATGTGAGGAGTAAGAGGTTTTAATTCTAAGTCCTCTCGAACGTAGTTATTTTCACCAATTTGGTGAGTTTAAAGGAGGACTATTGTGTAGTGCTAATCTTATTGTGTAGCGCATAATGTTACTTTATTCCATTGTGCCTCTAATGAATTTAAAAATATATATATATATATATAAACCAATTTTAATGCTCATTAAAATAATTATAATCATTTTTAAATAAAATTGTCTATTAAATTACAATTCCCGAAATTGTATATTATAATTACAAGTATTATATTTTTATATCTTTTGTATAAATACAAGTAACTTGTGCTATGAAAATGTTAAACATTTTCAATAGTGAGTATATGATTAATAAAAAAATAATGTACAACTTTTTTATTTTAAACAGTTGCTTTCTTATCAGTTTTAGTGAAGTATTCATATTATTAATTTGTAAATTGTAAACTAGTTTTAGATTTTAATTATATTTTAGAATATGCTCCATCAAATATGATTTCACTTTAATCAAAAATTAAAACATGTTATTAAAATTTTTGAAAATTTTAATTTATGAAAATATGAAACTACTAAATTTAAAAATAATCAAATTAAAATAATTCTCAAAAAAATATTGACATTAGTGAAAAAATTATGTTTGATAAATTACTTTTTCTTAAGTAAAAATATTAAAAAGTTTATAATTTAATATCCTAAAAAAAAAACCTCCACGATGCACAAAGAATGGCCACTCGAGTTATGCACTCTCGCGGCAATGGGAAAACGTTAACAATCTTATGTCGTTTCCGTTGTCACTTTAATCAAACCCTAAACCGTCTTCTATATTTTTGAGAAAAAAAAAAAAAAAAAGCTCCTACCCAATGCAAGTACGAAGAGAACCCAACCGCCATTGCCACTGAGTTACTTCTGAGTGAGTTAACTCGACCAAAGATGGCCGAGTCAACACCGGAGGAGCTTGTAGCCAAAGCCATAGCTCCAGTTAAAAAAGAGTTCCTTCGTCCTCCACCTTCCAGAACTAACCAAAATGAAACAGCAGCTTCCGACGCCGACGCCGACGCCAACGCCAAGTGGACTGTAGTATCCAAAGAAAAGAAGTCCAGACGTCAAATGAAACGCGAACGCCGAGAGGTCTCACTAATATTGTTTAAATTCTGTTTAATTAATTTTTTTCAAATCAACTTTTAGTTATTTGAATGAATTGAACTTGTACAGAAGTCCGTACAGCATCTATGCCCTGAGATAGCAAAGAGTCAAGATGTTAATTCATGTCGTTATGGAGATAAATGCAGATTTAGCCATGATTTAGAAGCATTTAAGGCTCAGGTATTATAATATGACAATAACCAGTACCTAAATGCTAATTTGTTCATCCAATTTAAAGTGTTATTGATAAAATGTTGTGAAATGTAGAAACCGCCTGATTTGGAGGGGAAATGTCCATTTATGGATGGTGATGAGCCGTGTCCTTATGGCTTGGCTTGTAGATTTTATGGTACACATGAAGATAGTGTGGCTGTTGCAGGCAATGGTGAAAGTGTGCAAAAGAAAGGCTTTGAGATTAATGGACTGAAGAAGGATGTTCAAAAGCTTTTGTGGAAGAATAAAATGAGGTTTCCTAAGGCAGATGCCAAACTCAAGTGTCTTGGGCTTATGGTAATAAATTTATGTTTTCTAAGTGTGGTTATATTTAGTTCATATCTCCTTGGACATTTATAGTATTTAGAATAATATTTTAAATGTGAGAACGTGTAAATATATTGTTTGAGGGATTAATTTGAAAATGTAGATTGTTGTGAATAGGAACTTGGTGTTTTAAGAGTGATGATTTCATCTGCTGGAAGAAAGTTTCTTTAAAAGAATGAATTGATTGAGTTTTCACTTTCAGTATGCTTAGTCTATTGTTTACAGTTATTTTCATAAGCACTGCTTTTACTATTTATTTGCTTTATTTTTTTTTTCCTTTTATAATTAAAAACAGTTTATCTCGGATTCAGAAAAATGTTTTGGTTCTGCTGATATTGCATTTGTGTCACTTTGTCTCACTGTCTAATACTTGTCTTGTTGTCTTTTTGTCTTTCTCTAAGGGACCTGGCAATTCACGAGTCAAAAGGCGGGATGATGAAGGAGCTGATCAGACTCTTGCAAATGGGTCTCATGTTACTGCTGAGAATGGCTGTGAAGTGGTCAATGATTTGTCTGATAAATCGAAATGCTCTTCGGAAATGCCAATAGAGGATAATGCAGCAGATGGAATGACATCTGACGAAACTAGGCCCCTGAAAAAAAAAAAATCAGTTGAAGAAAAATGTTGCCATAGTGGAGAAGCAAATGGTTGTCTTGGCTTTTGTTCCTTATTATTGCTTTGCTGGAATTATTTATTGTTTATTTGTGTAGACAAATGTGTAACTGACTTGGAATTCAATTTACAATAGAATTGAGTGTCCCAGGGAAACATGCCGAGAACAGTTCAGAACCAGAAGTAGAACAGTGCACTTCAGAAGTGCCAATAGAGGATAATGCAGCAAATGGGATAACAACTGATGAGACTGGGCCCCTGAAGCAAACCAAGTCAGTTGAAGAAAAATGTTGCACTGGGAAAGAAGCAAATGGTTGTCTTGGCTTTTGTTCCTTATTATTGCTTTTCTGGAAGTATATATTGTTTATTTGTGTAGTTGTGTTTACGAATGTGTAACTGACTTGGAATTCAATTTACAACAGAATTGAGTGTCCTGGAGAAAGGTGGTGGGAACAGTTCTATACCAGAATTAGAAGTTGTTGCTGATGGTGCATTCACAGAAACAGATGCGAGTTTGAAAACACATCCCCGTGAGAAGAAGCTCTTTGACTTCAGAGGAAAGCTTTATCTTGCACCTTTGACCACTGTAGGAAATCTTCCTTTCCGAAGGGTTTGCAAAGTACTAGGAGCTGATGTAACTTGTGGTGAAATGGCAATGTGCACAAATCTTTTGCAAGTATATATTCTGCTTTGTTAATTAACTCATTTCATTCATCTTAATTGCAATTTTTCTTTTTATTCAGCCGGGCAGATTTGAATAAAATGTTACTTCTCTAGTGTTGATGCTATGCTCTCCTAAAATACACAAAGCCTGCAACCAAAGATGATTAGCTTTCCCCAGAAGCGCAATCTTTTAACTTTCCATTATTATTGCCAGGATTGATATGGCCTACATCAATTTGGGCTCGCCACTTATGGCATATCTCATTAGCTTTGTCATGTGCTCATTGTGGTATAACCATGCTGAGGTTGTAGAATACATGACCAATCCTGGCACAATCTTTAGTCTAGATTAGCAAAGAACCAAGCATATTGAATGATTTGTGTCTTATATTTTATTTCTTCTTTCTTGCAATACTCTATGTGGTCTTGGTAGTTTATATTATGCTTCTCATTGTGACCCCTAACACTTATGAACAAAATGTGAGCACCTAACACCTTTGAATAACAAATTTTCTTATGATGGTAGGGTCAAGCTTCAGAATGGGCACTGCTGAGACGTCATTCATCTGAGGATTTGTTTGGTGTACAAATATGTGGCGCATATCCAGATACTGTCGCACGAACTGTTGAGCTCATAGATAAGGAATGTATGGTGGACTTCATTGATATAAATATGGGTTGCCCAATTGATATTGTTGTTAACAAAGGAGCTGGATCATCTCTTCTTACAAAACCAATGAGAATGAAAAATGTTATAGAAGCAGCTTCTGGTACAGTGGATAGGCCTATAACTGTCAAGGTAAATTAAATTTTTGGCAATGAAATGATACTGCAAATATATTGATCCACTTCACTTTCACAATCATACTGTCATGATGTCAAGTTTTATTTTTAAGTTTTGCTGTTTTGCAGTTTTACTCTGAAAATTTTCTTTCTTCATTTTTTTTCCTGCCTGTGGTTCAATCTTTGTTCACTGTTTGAATTCTCTTCCGATGCTTGATCTAGATGTGTTATTCTTCATTTTTCTGTTCCTCTAGGTGCGGACAGGTTTCTTTGAAGGAAAAAATCGTATTGACTCGTTAATTGCTGATATTGGTAACTGGGGGGCCAATGCTGTAACAGTACATGGCAGAACACGCCAGCAACGGTATAGCAAGCTTGCTGATTGGGACTACATATACCAGTGTGCTAGAAAGGCACCAGAATCTCTTCAAGTGTTAGGAAATGGGGACATCTTTTCATATACAGACTGGAACAATCACAAGTCTGACTGCCCTGACCTCTCTTCATCCATGATAGCTAGAGGAGCACTAATCAAGGTTAGTAATTTGGCAATTGGACTTGTCCATCTCAATGAGTATGTGGTATTTATAAATAGCTCAATTTCTTGCACGCTTCTGTTTAAGGCAGTTTTTTATTTCCTGAAAATAGCATGAATTGCATTTTTCAGCCTTGGATATTTACTGAAATCAAGGAACAGAGGCACTGGGACATCACGTCTGGAGAACGATTGGATATTTTGAAAGATTATGTACATTTTGGCCTCGAACATTGGGGTTCTGATGCAAAAGGTATGCATTTTTGGTTAAATGAACTGATATACTTTATTGGATCATATTTTACTTGGAGAGTTGGATTATATGATATTTTGTTACAACCCATGTGCTAAACATATTTTTTAAGTTATTGTAGTTTCATTGCATTGAGCAGTATTAAACTGCTGTCTTATGGCTTCTGATACTGGCGTTTCACCATGCATGTAATGATGGTATAGGATTTTTGGGTTTTCTTTCATTTATTTTCTACTACAAATTCTGGAACACTCTGTTCTGCTCAAAAGCTTTCATCATGAGTAACTTTAAGACATTTGTTTATCAGGTTGCATGCATAACTTGAACAAGACCTAAGACTTGTATGTTCTTTGATAGGGAAAGAAATTTGTATGGACACTTTAAATATTCAGTTGAATTAGTGGCTAGTCCTTTGGAAGGCGAAAAAAAAAAAAAAAAAAAAAAAAAGGATTTTTGGTTTTCTTTCATTATTTTCTACTACAATTCTGGAACACTCTGTTCTGCCTCATAAAAGCTTTGTCTGAGTACTTAGAACAATTTGTTTATCAGGTTGCATGCATTAAAACTTGAACAAGGACCTAAGACTTGTATGTTTCTTTGATGGGAAAGAAATTTGTTTTGACACTTTAAAATATTTCAGCTTGAATTAGTGGCTAGTCCTTCTGGAAGGCGAAAAAAAAAAAAAAAAAAAAAAAAAAAAAAAACGAAGATAAAAAAAAAAAAAAAAAAAAAAAACGAAGATTGTTATCTTTTCTTCTTACCATGTGCAGGAGTGGAGACAACTAGGAATTTCTTGTTGGAATGGCTTAGCTACACATGTAGATATATACCTGTAGGTCTTTTGGATGTGATTCCCCAACGAATTAACTGGCGCCCACCCTCTTATTTTGGTCGTGATGAACTTGAAACACTTATGGCTTCTGATTCTGCTGCTGACTGGGTATGCCACTGCTTTATATCTTGCTAATTGATGCTATTGTAAGCTCCCAAGCAACATTATTCAATGATTTGCTTTGTTTTACCATTTTTGCAGATTCGAATCTCTGAAATGTTGCTTGGCAAGGTTCCCGATGGCTTTACTTTTGCACCAAAACACAAGTCCAACGCTTATGATCGAGCAGAAAATGGCTAATTGAGGTCATTAGCCTATTTCCTGAAGGAAATTGATTCTGATTTTAGAAGTTCAAATCTGTTTCTTTCGGGCCTGTTGTGCACCTGGTTCTATGAGAGACATATGTAATGTTAATTAGTTCCATCATTATTTAAGAGGGAGCAATCTGGTTACCTAACCTGTTTTGAAGTAACAGAAAACTATGAAGCTAACCTAATAAGGCGGAGGCTTCACACACAATAATTCCCAGGTTCAATCTCCATCTATTACCATTTAAATGAAATTTCTGATTCTTTAATAGGTATATTTGATTTAATTTGTATTTGTCGTTGTAATGGTAAGGCTGATTAGGACTTATTGCGTCGAGTAGAAATGGCATTTTCAGTTTTTTTTTTTTTATCCTCTTATAGTCAATAAATGCTCCCAAGTCTCATCTCCCTTATTTATTGAAGACTGCTTAAAGACATTGTATATATTTAGTTAATTAAAATTTTGATCTTAGCTACTAGAAAACAGTTGCTAAAAACCCATTTCTTCTATTTTTTTAAAAAAACTTTGTATAGCATTGTTATTAACACTACATTGTCAGTTAAATAATTCAAATGATCAAATATAATTGGGATAATATATTTATATATGAAAATTAATATAACGACGTATATTTTTATAGTTTACGTAATGTTTTGCGTTTGAAATTAGGAGAATTTATTAGGTGAATGAGCCGAAAAAAATCAGAATTTTAATAGGTATTTTCTTCCCCTTGGTAAGGGTATTTTTCTGGCCTATCATGAGTCCCGAAAGTAACAAGTCAACAATCATAAATAAGATTATTTATTTATTTTAAAATTACTATCTGACAATGTAAATGATTATTATTTTATAATTTTTAAAACTGTCAATAGTGGTTTCATTTTTAGCAAAACTCATGTTTCGTGCTAATTAATGTGTTTTTTTTTTTTTTTTTTTTTTTTTCATATGTAATATGATTATTATTTCTATAATTTTTTTAACTGTCAATAGTGGTTTATTTTTTAGCCTAACAACTATGTTTTTTCGTGCTAATTTAATGTGTTTTTTTATTTTTTCTTTTTTGTTTTTCTGTTTGACATTAACAAATTAAGTTATCCTTTATATTACATACTTAATCAAATACATAAAACTTATAATTTTAGTTAAAATACTTAATCTACTTAAAACTAAACCCCTTTTTTTTTTTTTTTTTTTTTTTTTTCTGTCACATTAACAAATTAAGTTATCCTTAATTACATATTAACCAAATACATAAACTAATAATTTTATCAAATACTTAACTACTTAAAACTAAACACCCTCCTCTGTTAAGGATCAACATGTGATTAGTTGTTTTTAAGCCATTAGTTGACATGTAATTAGTTGTTTTTAAGCCATTAGTTGGTAGCTGATTAGGTCTTAAATTAGAAGTTGTTCTTAAATTAGAAGTTGTAGTAGCTGTTAGTTGTTATCTTAACCTTTTAGGTCTTAAATTAGAAGTTGCAGTAGCTATTAGTTGTTATCTTAACCTTTTAAAACTGTTAGTCTTTTTATGATGACATTACATGTTGATTATATTCGTTATTTGTATTCGTTCAACTTTTTTTATAAGTATTGCTCACTTTTACTTATTATTATACTCGTTTTATTTTATAGTATTAAATATTGATTATAATTTTTGTCTTAAGTTATTTAGATTTTTATAATATTAAAATAAAATCTCATATGAGACTAATATTAATATAACGGTTAATTAATAAAACAGCCTTGTGTATTAATATACACTTCAGTTCAATTTTTATAGCGTTATTTATTTAAAATTCATTTTAATTGTACATGTTTAATTATACATATGTTTTAATATATATAGATACATAGATGTAATAATAAAATATTATATATTTTTTTAAAACTAAAATTTTTAACTATTTATTATCTCATACGTACATGTTCATTTTATTTAAAAATAAATTTTAAAAAGTATAAATTTAAAAATTTTAAAAAAAGCTTAATTATGTATATTCTATTTAAAAATTTATTTTTTCGGTGCACGTCTTGGTTTAATTATTTGCCATCCTAAAGTGTTGGTAGGTGATTTATTAGATAGTTCACTATCTTGGTCTTGTAGGCAACCCAACAAGAAGGTGGTTCATACCTTGGCAAGGGCCTCTTGTTTTTATTCTCGCCTCCATTATTGGGACATTGTTCCCAACTGTGTAGGAGCTCGTCTTTTAGACGATTTACTTATTAATAAAGCTTCTGCTTTCCTTCTAAAAAAATAAATCCAAACAAATTACACAAACATATACTCACACCAAACTCACTTCTGCTTTATATTATATATTTTTTAGTTATTTATTTATAATATTATATTATTTATATATATATTATTAAAAAGATATTTTTTTCATCTCTTCTAAAATAGAGACTATTTTAATCTATAATTACAAATAAATCAAATATATTTTTATGAATCAATTTTAAAATAAAATATTAGATTCTTTATAAATTCTTATTCATATATATTTATTAAAATAAATTATAAAAATAAAGTGGACTTGAATTTTAAATATTTAAAAATAAATTTTAAAAAATAAGAATATAAAATTCTTAAATATCTCGTTATCATATATATTTATTAAAAAATAAATTAAAAAAATAAGACTGAAAATTTTGAAATGCTAAGTTTTCTATATTTATTTATTAACTAATAAACAATTTATTAAAAAATAATTTTAATAAATTATGTCCAATTAATTAATAAAATATAATTTTTAATTGATCACCATTAAAGTTATTTAAAATATTTAAATTTCATTAAGAGTATTATCAGAATCCATTATTTCCTACCCTATTCCCACATATATAGTATAGATAGATTATAATATTTATATTACCGAACATAAAAATTAATAGAGATAGAGTTTAAGCTAGCACAAAATCTATTGCCCAATACTATCTACGTATAAACATAATTAGATATGAAAATATAGTAAAAACTATTTACTTTGTTAATGTTTATCTGTACTAAAAAAATTTAAAAATATGTATTTTTACTAATCACATGTCTTATCAAATCATCATAAGATTAATATTTACATGACTATGGCAAATGTTAATATTGTTCAGGTAAAAAAGTTCGTGAAGAACTAATCGCGTGAATAATCAAAATGAAGGCTTTGCATTGCTTGTATATATATATGCATGTTACATTAATCTCCTCATGTATTACCTATAATTAGCTTGTATTATATATTCATGACTTGACATTATTACTGAATTAAGAACGCACATATATATGATTATATTTTTGAGATATTGGAGTAAATTAATACTAATTATTTGAAAAAAATTTATACAATTATGGATAGCTTTATTGAGAGAGCTAAAATTGTTAATACACTATCAAGCAAAGTACGATGTGATTAAATACTGCATTGGTACCCTTGTCTCAATATCTACAATCGGGCTTGCTGTTCTCCGCATCTTGCTTAACTAATAGCTAAATTTCTGTAGGACTGTCAATTTCATTCTTTTTGGGCAACTATTTCTTGATAAAATCAAACAATATAATGTCATTATTTGATAGTAGTTTTTTTTAAAAAGCGGCAATACACACATAGTTAGCGGTTCATATAGATTTGGCTTTGTGCCATCATGCAACAGGCAAAAGTAATAATGATTCTTGTGCTTTAGGAATATTTCTGTGATTTTGAAGTAACTGCATGCTATAGCTTATGGCTATCTACGTGATGTTTCAGTCCATGTGTCTTAGTCCACCACTGATGGTACATGCAAGTTTTTCCCTTTAACTGAAATATTGTTTAAATATTGCTGAAACAATTCAAGCTCCTGCGGCTTGAATTCAAATCGATAAAAGCTCAATCAAAGCTCAATCATTAATAAAGCAAATTAAATTCAAACATAAATTGAAGTTTGATTATTTTTCAAATACAAACTCGAAACAAAATAATTAACACATTAATATTATAAAATAATTATGTTTTTATATTTTGAAAATTTTATTTTTAAAGTACCAGTTAATTAAATAGAAAATAAAGGATATCCATGCTTGAGACCAAGCGAAAATTTTAGATATTTTCTCCTTCCGTCTGGAATTTTTAAAATTTTATTTTATTTTTCTCCAATTTGATTGGAAGTTAGATATATTTTTAACGTTTATTTATAATTCTCTTAACAGATATATATAGATTATTATTATGAGTTTGAACATTTTAAATTATTTTATCTTATTTAATTATTATTTTTAAGATAATTATATTTAGATAATTACTATTTTAAAATTTTTTTTATAGATAACTACTATAAAATTTGTTAAAAATTTTCTTATAAATAATTACTATAATTTTTTTTTTTAAATTTTCATTTCATTTCGTAATTAATGTTAATATAATTTGGTTTTAATGTTAATATTGATTTGGAAAATTAGATTATTAAGAATCCAAGATGAACCACTCTGATGCACTTCTCTGCAACTTAGATTATTAAGAATTCGTAACTCTAAAGAAATATGCTGATGATAAAAAAAAAAAAAAAAAATTCAGATTTAATGTTAATATTGATTGGAAATTAGTTATTAAGAATCCAAGATTGAACCACTCTAGATGCACTCTCTTGCAACCTTTAGGATTATTAAGAATTCGTAACTCTAAAAGAATATGCCTTTGTATGATAAAAAAAAAAAACAATCCGGAGGGAAGGGATAAAACTCTTCCAAATACCTGATTTGTTAAACTAGACATTACCATAGATATGCAGAGATTTTCATTCATTTCCAGACACAACAAAAAAAAAAAAAAAAAATTCGAGGGAGAAGGAGGGGATAAACTCTTCCAAACCTGATTTGTAAAACTAGAATTACCAAGAACATGCAGAGGAGATTCATCATATCCCAGACAAAGCTCACAAGAAGAGGAAATACACAAGTGTTTCCTAACCCTCTCTTTATCCGTAAGTAATCTGTCATACAAAGCAAGCCATAAAAACACACTGTGACCTTCAATCAGGTTACAAGCAGACTTTACCGAAAAAGAACCAGAGCTAGTCAAATTCCAAAAAGCAGCATCCATATCACGATCATGACATGGGGGAAGAATAGAAGCTATACGCGCTAGAACAGAATTCGGTAATAACTGGTTTTCACACCCCTTCTGGAGTAACATACATAGCAACCGGCTCATCTGACATTAGAGGAGGAATAACACCAATAGCTACATCAACAAGAGTGATATCATCTCTTCACTCATTTATCCTTCCAAAATTTAACACTTCTTCCATCACCAACAGACCAAACAATACCTTCTCTAAAACTGTTGCCAAACGCTACTGATATCTTTTCAAAGCCTTGAGGCATTATTCCTATCAACAGTATAGGCCAAGAGTCGAGAGGAACCTTACATTTACTAATTAACAGCTTCTGTCCAAAGAGCATCTCTATCCATCAAAATCCCCCAAGCCAACTTCATAAAAAAAGAAAAGCTTCGTTAAGAGAAGATAAATGGCGAAAGCCCAGGACCCTAGCTGTTTAGGCTTACGGGTATCCGGCCACGGGACCAAAGCTAATTTTCTTTGATCATTAGTGGATCCCCAGACAAAGCTTCTGCATCTTTTTTCTAAAGACCTGAATCGGGAGTTTCGTATAGTCTGCAAGGCATATAGAGGCGTAGCAGCTACCACCGAATTAGCTATTGTAATCCTTCCTGCTAAGGAGAGATGCTTTGTCTGCCAATTCCCAAGTCTCTTGTCAGCATTCTCTAACGCATAAGCAAAAGATCGGCTCTTAACTCTTCCTTGAACAAGAGGGATACCCAGATATTTGCCTAAGCAATTTGTCTCCTTGAAGCCCAACAAGGAACTCTTATCAGCATCCATCTTTTCTTTCTTTAATTCCTTTCAATCCTTAACAATTTTTTAGAGAACTATTGGATGTTATTATAGTACAAATTATTAATTATTTTAGACATTGATAGAACTGTAATATCATATTTTTCGTTTTTCATTTCAGTTGCCTTAATATGTAAACATAAAAGAGCAAGCAACAAAATTGAATTCCCAAAAATAATAACAAAATTGCACATTCTGAATAACAGAAATTCCCAAAAATAATAACAAATTGCACATTCTGAATAACAGGGCATACGATTAATTATGAGAAAAATTTAGAGAGATTGAAATGGATTAAGAAGTAAGATTATTAATTTTTTAAAATTTTTAATAAATTAAAATTTTAATTTTAGTAATTAATTTTAGGGTGAAATTATGGTAAAGATAATTAATTTTCTATATTGATATAGAAATTATTTTGTAACATTAGATTTTAATTGTTAATTAGCTACTAAACAAGTTAACCGAAGCTGTAGTACGTTTCTCTATCTCAGTATGGATGCAAAGCAGAAATTCATTGTATATAACTGTCTTGATTTTAATGAAAATATGAAAAGATTTTGGGAATAAAGCAATAGTTTTACTTAGTAATCAAAATTCTTTTTTTTTTCTCATCGTAAAAGACATTAACATTTCATTAATTATTCTTAAAAAAATATAAACAACAAATATTCGCATTCCTTGTCAACTATGTTTCTCCAAAGCAAAATCAATGAAAAAATTTTGATAATTCATTGTTAAAATAATTTATATAATTCATTTTCTATAATAATAATTTTTTGGTATTTAATTATATGTGCATTCCTTTGAAAAATCATACTGCTAAATTCCTCCCTGCCCAACAAAAAAAAAAAAAATAATAAAAGAAAGAAAGAAATTTTGTGGAATAAAATTTATGGTAGAGAAACTGTATACTCTGTCCAAACTCCTTCACAGTCCATTGGCAACAATCTAATCTTCCTATTCTAACAACCTTTGATCTCATTACTAAACAGGAAGAAAACAGTCAATATCAGATAAAAGTTCGAAGTTATAAATCAGATGATGCACCAAAATAATAATACTGTAGAAGATTCATGAAGAGCATGATCTTGGATTTATCGAGAACATTGCACTTCACCTTGAGACCAATGCATTAATATAAAAGGGTACAAGTTACCAGAAAAAAAGAAAAAACAGAAAAAAGAAAAAAAGAGGAAATATAAAGGGTACAATTCAAAATTATCAAACCTCACTGAATCAAAATCCAATAATTGCACAATCCCCTCCAGAAAACAAAGCAAGCAAGTGCAATTATGAACTCATGGACAAACAACCACATGTATAAATGAAACCAGAAGTTCTAATATAACAATGTCTCCCCTTAAAATAATATCAAATGTATAATTATGAATCATGAACAACTTGCCAGTCAAAGAATGAATCAATTCTCTATATTTAATCTTCTACATATGCACTTGAAACTTTGTACCAAGCAAGTGATGCAACATTTATCACCGCATACAGAAACCATTATAAGAACCTAAAATTTATTGAGGTTTATAACAAAATTGTCAGGCATCGAAGAAAGATGAACCAGTACTTCTTATAATTAAATGGTCCAAAATTTAAAAGACCCAACAAAATTGTGTAAGTTCTAGTTCCAGAACCTCAATTAATCCAAGGAAGCGTATAAAGGTTATATTAGAATAACTGGAGATGTCTGCCGCTCTCTGCATTGCACGCGTATACCCTCAATAGTAAATTACTTCTTAGTTTATCATAAATCCAATGAGTTCTGCAAATCGGATGTAACACGGAACAATATATCATTACAAAGATGACAACTTCTGGACATCACTAACTTTCTCAAAATTCTGAGTATTAGGCCCTTGAACCCATCCCCCATCAATTGCCCCTACAGGTCCACTCAACCCATCATCCACAAAATCACCAACCCGTTTCACTTTAACTCCCCTTGGCTGAACAGGGTATACCCCAGAGAAGCAAGCAAAACAAAACGACGGAAAATCAGCACCCAACGAATTCTTTAAGCTATCCAACTCTAGAAAGGCAAGTGAATCACACCCAATAAACTCTCTGACCTCGTCAACAGTCATCCTGTTAGATATTAACTCCTCAGAACTTGGTGTATCTACTCCATAATAACAAGATGCGATAATTGGAGGACTAGCAATCCTCATATGGACCTCCTTAGCCCCAGCCTCCTTAAGCAACCTAACAATTTTCGATGATGTAGTTCCTCTCACAATTGAATCATCCACAACTACAACTCTTTTCCCTTCCAATACTCCCCTCACTGGAGAAAGTTTAAGTTTAACACCAAAATCCCTAATCTTCTGTGATGGCTCAATGAAAGTCCTTCCAACGTAGTGTGATCTTATCAATCCTTGTTGAAATGGAACACCTGCTTTGGCTGCATAACCAAGTGCAGCCACCACACCTGAATCAGGGACTGCAATTACAACATCACAATCAACAGGAGCCTCAGTGGCAAGAATTTCTCCAAAGAGACGCCTTGATTCATAAACAGACCTACTAAATACTACTGAATTCGGCAAAGCAAAGTAAATATGTTCAAAGATGCATTGCTTTGGTTCAGGGTGCTTCATTAGGCAAAGTGATTGAACCCCATCTTTATCCACAACTAAAACCTCACCAGGATAAACCTCTCTCTCATATGTAGCCTCAATTAAATCAAGAGCACAAGTCTCAGAGGCGAACACAACAGCACCATTACTCCTCCTCCCCATAACCAAAGGCCTAAAGCCATAAGGGTCTCTAACAGCAACCAACTTATCCTCTGTGACAAACACCATCGAATAAGCCCCTTCTAACTGCTCACATGCATCAACAATCCTTAGAAAGAAAGGCCTAGCCTTTGAAATAGCAATCAGATGCAAAACAACCTCAGTATCGGAACTAGTATTGAAAATTGAACCATTATCTTCAAGCATAGCCCTCAATTTCCTATAATTAACTAAATTCCCATTATGAGCAACCCCAACAGACCCAAACCTATATCCAGCAACAAAAGGTTGAACATTTTTTAGCATAGAAGACCCCGCAGTAGAATATCTAACATGACCTATAGCTAAATCACCCGGCAATTTATCAAGTTTAGACTCACTAAACACTTCAGAAACTAAACCAACACCAGTAACAGATTGCAAAACCTTATTATTAACAGCAACAATACCAGCCCCTTCTTGGCCGCGATGCTGCAAAGCATGAAGCGCTAAATAACAAAGACGAGAGGCTTCAGGGTCGCCATAGATACCCACAACACCACACTCTTCACGAGGCTTATCGTCATCATCAAAGAAAGAATCGAAAGAAGAATCATCCGGATATTCTTTATTTGCGGAAATAACGCCAGATATAGGATATTTAGAGGCAAAAGCGGCATGGTTATTCTGGGTTTGACACAACAATCGTCTACGATGAAAAAGAGAGGGTTTAAGGAGGGTTTTGGGGAGGAGAGAAAGAGGGGCTTTTAGAGGTATCTGAGGCTTAGAATTGAAAGAAGAGGGTTTAGACAGGGGAGAGAGATTAGTAGCGGTGGCCGCCATGGAAATACAGAGGAGAAAGGAGAAGAAAAGGAGAGGCTGTGGGGGGAGACAGTGAGGGAGTTTTTGTTTATAAAAGGCCGTTGTAGTGGTTCTAGGTTTTTGGAGAATTTGGTGTTAATAGGTTTTGAGTGAGTTTGTGTTAGTCGTGGTCGTGGGTTTTTTAACCCTTTGATTCTATTTTTTATTGGACGGTGTGACTTTGTCCTGCTCTTAACGCCAAAAGACAAGGTGGACAAAGAAAAGAAAGCTTGTGGCGTTCTGCTATGCTATGCTCTCTCGTTGTAGCGTTGCGTGATATATATATTTTAATAACTTTTTTCAAATTCAGCCAACTTTTTATATTTTATATATTTTAATATTTAGCATTTGAATTTTAATTAAATTTTTTTTGACAATGATAATTATTATTTTTCTCCAAATCCAATCAATTTAATAATTAATTTCTTCTTTTTTATTTTTTTAAATTAAACAATTATTTTATAGCTGTCATTTCTATTTTAAGCTTTAATTTTAAAAGAATAATAATTAAATACTCAAAATAGGCATGATGATTTAATTACCTTGTATGGCCCTTTATTATTATCTATGCTGGGAGTATCAAAAAAGAAAACAAATAAAAAAGGATTCAGTTATACTTTAAAAAACACAAGGATTAATTAATAATTATATTTCCAACTGTGATTTAACATGGTCAACCGGGAATTGTGGGTTTGTCAAAGATATTAGATTTTAGATGAGGCGGTCTCTAATTTTATATTATTAATTTATTATGTACTTTTAACGAAAATATTATCCCAATCGCGTTGAAGTCGCGTGCTGCATTCAACTTTTCAGTAACGATCCTCCGTCCTTCGAAATGATTCTTCATTTTACATCATCAACTTGATATGATATCATCGCGTGGCGGTTGAGGACGAAAGTAGGTAGCTGGTGATGGTTCGGTTTCAACCAATAGCCAAATTACGTGTGGAATTTTCTAAGTTTCACGTGGAACTTTCTCAATTTCACTGTTTTTCTAATTAATAATTTAATTTTTTTAAGGAATTAATAATGTAATTTAAATTACTTAATTTTATTCCAAAAATATCTTTTAAATCCATGGATTATATTATTTTCTAATCCAACGATGAATGTGAAATTCTATTAGTTTTTTTTTTACAATCCTATCAATCCAAACGAATTTTAATAATATCAATAATGTATGATATTATTATTTAAGAAATAAGAAAAAACCTTTAATTTCAGATAATTCAATTGTCTCACTGTTACATTTTTTTTTATTTGATTGAGTTGATTTGGCCATTAAACAAAATTTCTGATTGTAACTTGATCTCATTTTTGACTTAGCCTATGAGTAATTTAAATTAAAACTTCAATTTCCTAATATTAATTCCATTAATTTGTTATATTTGTCAGGTTGTTGATGCTGCAAGGAATTTCTAATTAAAGAAATATAGATGTAATATAAATAAGTTCTTTTTACATTTATAAAAAGAGGCAGAAAAAAGTACCCAAGTTAATTTTTTATCTAAAATGTCAATATTATTTTTTAAGTGAATTTCTGAGTTCATGGATACTAAAATTCTAAATTCAAATCTGACTAAAATTCATAATGCCTGATAAATAATATTCATATCATTCCAAAAACTCATGTAATTAATAGCCAAAATTGTTTTCCGGAAGTTAAGATACGACGTTAATGGCAAAAAAAAAAAAAAAAAACCCCAAAAAAAAATCGAAATATTTGTCTTAATAGTTTTTTATATTTACATCCTATTACATAACCAAACGGAATTTTAAAGTAGATTCAATCTTTTTAAGAACGCAAAGTAATTGAAATACAAATAATGTATGGATATTTTATTATTTAAGAAAAATAAAGAAAAAAACCTTTTAATTTTTCAGATTGTGCTCAAAATCTGCTAATCACCATGTGTAAACATTTTTTTATTTGGATTGAGTTGATTTGGCCATTAAACCAAATTTCTGATTGTACTTGAGTGTCATTACTCTTTGACTTTGCCTATGAGTAATTTAAATTAAGAAAACTTCAATTTGTGCCTAAAAATATTCATTTCCCATTAATTTGTTATGAACTATTGCTCAGAGTGTTGTTGATGCATATGTTCAACGTGAAACCTTTTTCTATATTAATTAGCGATTAAGTAAGTAGGTAATTGTAATATATTTATAATTTCATTCATTGTCTTCATTTTATCTATTTATAAAAAGAGGCAGAAAAAATTGTAGCCCAAGTGTCTAATTCTCTCTTATCATAAAAATAGTAGCGCGAAAATATTATTCTTTAAGTGTATATTCTACTGAGTTTCATGATATTTACTCACATCATGGTACTCAATCAAAGATCAGTCTGGACTAAGAAAATTATCTTTACATATGCGTGAATAAGAGTAAGTATAACTCATTTCATATCATTCCGCAAAAATAAATCATCGTAACTTAATAGCCAAAATTGATTATATCCGGGGAAGTTAAGATACAGGGACAAGTTATGTGGACTCTAAAAAGGAAAAACAAAAAAAAGAAAAAAAAAAAAAAAAAAAACCCCAAATAAAGTTTTTTTGAGAAAAAAAAAATCTTTTAAAGTTTTTTTAACCTCGTAATGTAATTAAGATTACATGTATATATTCATTATTTAAATTGATGAAATATTTATTACATCAAAAAATCTATGTAAACCCATTACATTCCTCAAAACTCATACCCATTCTCAACCACTATCATCAATTCAATCACCACTCCATCACCATCACCACCACCACTGCAACCTCTACCACCATTTCAACGACCACTCCACCACCAATACCAGATCATTATTAATTATTCTTTTATATTGTTATAGGGATATGAAGAATAGAATAAAAAGTTACTAAAAAGATCAAAATATCATAATTTTATATTGTCATAATATGACTTTATATAAGGGCATAGAAGAATAGAATATAAAAAAGTTATAATCAATATAGATAGCTACAATATAATAATAAAGGTATTATTAATTATTCTTTTATATTGTTATAGGGATATGAAGAATAGAATAAAAAGTTACTAAAAAGATCAAAATATCATAATTTTATATTGTAATTTAATTTATTCAATGAAAATATATACAATTGTATAAAAAAAATAATTTTCAATGACTTTAACTTTTTTACTCTTTTTGGACTTCTCTTCTCTCCTTAATCCTAATCTCTTCATTTTTTTTTCCTATGCTAACTCTTTTCTAATTTATCCTCAAGTAATTACTAATTATTTTTGGATTTTTACTACTTACTTTTAGACTTTAAATAGATTTTAACTCAATTTAAAAATTCAATTCTAAGATGCAGCCTAATATGTAAATTATAAACCATGCAATCGAGCATAAGAGGTAAAAATCGAGCGTTAATAATTTTTAGAACCGAGTCGGTTAAGTGCATGTATAGCATTCTGTCATGGAGATCCATATACCATAGCTTATGCCACTTTTTGCGAAATCACTTTAAAATTACCTTTATACCCCAGACACTTTTATTTAAAAACTTAAATATAGTAACAACCTAGTTTGAAAATTAAACCATAAAAGGATAGAAGTGATATTTATTATGGGACCTACCGATTTATTTTGGGTTGCCTTAATCCAATAAATCTAAAACTCATTGTTTTGCTCCTCTTTCTCCTAATCCAAAAATCCCTCACTTGAACAACCGCCTAGAAATCCTAAATTGGGCTTGAACACTCTCACTCTCTATCTACTGTGTGTGTGTCTCTCTCTCCATGAATTTCTATCACATTTTAACTAATTTTTAACTACTATCTCTGTTCCATAATTTTTGTCATATTTGAAATTTCAAATCTCTTAAGAAAATCATTAAATTTGTCTAAGTTGCAATAAATTATTGAGTAAATTGATTATATTGTCCTTAATTTAATACTAATTTAAAAAATATTTAAATTAAAGTAATAATTATTAGTCATATATAAAGGGTAAATATGAAAAAAATATTTATTACTCCTTAAAACCACAAATGTGATAAGTATTTTGGAAGAAGGGTAAATATAAAAAAATAGTTTATTTACCTCTCTTAAAACCACAATATGTGATAAGTTATTCTCATGGAACAGATTTAATTTTATCCTCCAAAAATTATGAAAAGTAATCTATCAAAACAGAAGTCATATATAAAGGGTAAATATGAAAAAAATATTTATTACTCCTTAAAACCACAAATGTGATAAGTATTTTGGAACAAACTATTTTCTCAAATATGAAAAGTATTATAAAACAGAAATAGTATATGGTATTTTTAAAGCAAACAAGATTCTTAACCTACCCATTCTCTTAAAGATAGATTTTTTTTTTTTAAGAAAAGAAAAAGATAAAATAAAATTAAATCTAATCTCTTTTGCGTATGAATGATAAACGGTTTGACAAGAAGACAGCCATTAAGCACTATTAACAATAATAAATTCCAATAAGTGGTCAACTGCTGCTAGAAAAGAAAATTTTAAGATGAACTTAACTCTCTGTCATAACTGCTAGTTATTTTTTCTTGTACCATTAATGAAAAAAACAGCTAAATTCTGGTGGAGAGAGAGAGAGATTCACAAGCGTGAGTTTTGGATTTTTGAGCAATTGTGCAAGTGAGGGATTTTTTATCGGTGAAAAGGGAGCAAAACCGTGAGTTTTTAGTTCATTAGGTTAAGTTAAAAAAAGTAAATCAGTGGGTCTGTATACTAAATATTATTTTAGTCTTTTTTATGATTTAATTTTTAAATCAGCGTATCAATATATTTAGATTTTCAAATAGAAATGTTTGAGGTACGAAAATCATTTTATAATAATTTTATAACAAGTTGCATAATTGAGATTAATTCTGTAATTTAAGCCGCCCATGCGTGATACATGACTGCTTGTCTTTGAAAAATTGAAAGTGAGCCCTCAGTTTGTAGGCTCCAAAAGAAATGGCTCACAAATGTACGGACAACAATAATGGACTGGACATAGAAAATTAGACATCACCATCCCAATCCTCAAATTGAATCTCCTCCCATCATTTTGGATTTAGACTTACCTTCCAAATGATATTTGCCTTGTCCTTTGGATCACAACAAAGTTTACAGTTACACAAAAATAAAACAAAAAGCTAAAAACT